AATGCCCACCACCTGAACGCACGCGCTAGCCGACCGTTCGGTTCATTCCCGTCCGGCAGGCAAACATTGAATAAGATGTATAAGCGACAGCGTAAACCGTCGATCAGTTCTTCATCAGTCGCAGACTGCATACGACTGATGAAAGAAACAACAATAACCAAAGTCGAACTACCGGGTGGTAAGCGAAGTGCGTCCGGTAGAAATGTAGAAAATTCGACCGCTCTGTACCTCAAACGGTCAACGAAGGTCGCCGTGTCTGGGTCCCTAGGGCGAAGACACTCCAAGGCTTCCCTACCGCGGCGAGTGAGGTACAAGGCCCTGCTCGTGATGAAGCAGAAAATACACAGAAGAAGTTGTAAAGTCCAGCTATATACGCCAGAGGTCCCCTGGGAATCCTCCCAGCCACTGATACGCCCGATAGCTTGACGAGTGTCGTGGTTCATTTCGGGAACAACGAACGAGCACTGAAGTTAGCACCGGATCTGAGCGAAGATAGCCCGATCTCAACGCAAGACTGCAGAATTTAAAATGCAAATGAGTGCTGAGTACAATAATCGGCCATTGGAAACGCTTCAGGGTTCTCACTTCCCGTCTATCCAGTAGCTTGCTTAGCGGAGGTGATCGACTATCTTGCTGAATTTCGTATCCTGGCTCGTTCGCTCTCCTTCAGCTTGCAAACGAGGGCTTCATCTTTGCACCAATCTTCGAATGGAGGGTCTTGAGCGGGGCAATGCCGAAACAAATTTTTCCCCCGCCCTTGAGCGTCAGGGTGAAGGCGATGCAAAGCCTCAACATTATCAAAGGACTTCCCACATAAACCACACTTCTCCAGTTTGTCCATCGTCACTTCTCCAGTTTCTTCGGCAAGATGTCTCGGTCGAAAGCTTCAGTGCATTCATGCGCACCTTCCCCTCTGGATCTAGAACATCCAGTTCCGCAGCGGCTTGGTGCTTGTACCGCCGATCACGAATTTCCGTATCAGCTCTCTGGAGATATGAAATAAGTCGCAAGTGCTATCCAGGGCCTTGCGATTGCGATACTCGGCCTCGTAGGCTCGGTAGATAGCATCGATATCACTCCCGTGAATGGCTAGAAGTTTGAGCACCAGATCCGACATCTCCTTGGAGATACCTCGGTTCCGCGGTCTCGCAACGCTGCCAGAGAAGGCCAGCCTCGCCCTTTTCCTCGCCCGTTCATTGCAGCCACCCGATACCGAGTTAGCTTCCAGCGAAGATTCGGGTAGGTCCCCAGAGGATGCGACTGTCGATTCAATGTCGCGATCCGCAAGCTCATCATCTATTCTCTGGATTCTCCCTGAGCTCTCCTGAATGGCTTCACTGAAAACATCCTCCCGGGTGTACCGCGATTCGTCCATGATCGATTGGTCCACTGCAGCTTCGATCCAAGATTGTTTCGTACAAATTTCGGTTCATTCATTATCTTTTCGTACATCGAAAAAGTGTATGTTTCGGTCACGATTTTTTCATCCATAACCGGTTTCGTACACGATTATTTCGTCCATGGGCGGTTGATCCAAAGATATGCTCGTTGTGATCTATTCGGCCACGATCTTTTCGAAAAAAATTCATTCGTCCAATAGTGGTTCGTACATATGAAACTGACGACACGCAAATGTTTATCGAAGGAAATGAACCCACGGCCTCTGGAATATCAGCTTGAGCTGCTAACCTACTCACCTGTAAGACTCCTTGTGAAATCTGACAAAGTACCGCCCATGCGATACCCAACCTATTCAACTTGGCTCCATTCATGTTTGGAGCCTCTAGGCACTGGAATCATCACAGAGACAACCTGATGTGGGGGAGTGCTAGATCGTCACCACTGGTGACTCACCAGTAGAGGCGGCGGTGAGATTATTAGGTCGCAGTAGGTGATGGTAGTAGCGGAATTGGTAGAGCTCCCGACTTGCATGACGATGGTCCCAGGTTCGAATCGGGGTAAGGGAAGATAGTGATAGTGAAGAACGCTACTTTTAGACATATGTGACGCCGCGGCGTCACATATGTCTCAAAGTAGCGTGGATGAAACTCACGTGTACGAAAGGCTTGTACGAAAAGCCCTGGAAGAAAGAAGCGGAGTTAGAGCATGATTGGACGAAACGGCGTGGACGAAAGAATCATGTACTTAAGACCCGTGGACGAAAGAGGTGTGTATGAATGAGGATGTACGGAAGTAACATGGACGAAACAAGCAGGATGAACCCTACCATGGACGAAACAATCGTGGACGAAACCTGCAATGTATGAAACAGCAATGTATGAATGGAGGTTCCCCGATCCTCCCAAGCCCCATCTAAGACGGGCCATCTTCCTGTTCCTTCATAGCCTTGACTTCTGCAAACCGAGCTCTTGTATAGGCGAGGCCGAACACCTCTTCGCCTTTCTCACTCGCATCTTAATCCCTCGCGAAAAGAAGGACCGCATCAGAACCAAAGGTATCATTGTTTCGCTTATTCAGCACGGCCACCGAGAAGGGGTCCATAACCACTCCTGGCAGCGGCCCGCTGCCAGCGGGTCTTCCGCTAGGCCTTGCCTTACAGCCACGCCCTCGGCCTCCGCATGAGCCGCCCGGGAGCAGTTGAATCGATAAGCGCAGTCACATTTGAGCGCGTGCCCAAGCTCCACTCCACAACTTGCCCCTTGAAAATTGGATTTCAGCACCCTGTGATATGCTTCAAGTTGGCTTGTAGATCTGCACGTCCTGTAGACCGTCAGTGGGCAGCGAGGATCCTGACGGAAAAACTCAGTCCCAACCACAACATATAAGGGCACGGAGTTGTCAGTTGTCGGATCAGGGTCCGAGAGGCAGCCTCGACGTATGTGGACTTGCAACTGCTGCCATATTTCAGGCATTTAGAGGACTACTCCTGGAGGACTACTCTTTGGTCGAGGGGGCTAGGGCTTTAGCCCCAGACGCTAGGTCGAAAGGGCACGAGTTCGAATCTCGCAGCTGTTATGCAAGTACTACTGAAAGTCTGTCATGACTACCTCAACTATGTACTATGAGTCGCTACCCGGATCTGAACCGGGGTTGTCACGGCCACAACGTGACGTCCTAACCACTAGACGATAGCGACGCAACTATACAGGCGTATTCGGAATTCTTTCCGCATACTTGCGGCCTATATGTCATAATATTTTATACCTTCCCACCAGTAGCGCTACAAAGTTTGTTACAAGCTGCCTCCTCGCTGCTACAATGAAGTGAGTTCCTCCAAAGAATTTTTATTGCATGAAAATTCTACGTTGAACTCGAAAGCTTTTCCCAGAAGCATGTCTCTTCTTCAAGGCGAGAGGGGCAGGCAGAACGTCCCCTGGAGAACGGTGTCATTCATGTGGAAGACGGACAAGACAGATGGATTGCAGGGCGTTCCTGTTTCTTCAGCTAACACTCGAAACGTACTTGAGCCGCAGAAACCCTGGGTTCACCTGTTTTTCACAACTCCGGCTTAGACGAACCGCCTCAGTTGACTTCGAGCCTGCGAGGAAAGGGAATCGCCTCTCGTAAGGGGAAAGCCCCGAGCTTTTCTCGCTATGTTCAGCGACAAGCCTACTTTCAAGCCCTACTGTATCATCGACAGTTTGGCCGAGTGGTCTAAGACGCTAGCTTCAGGCGCTAGTGGCTCCGAAAGGGCGCGAGTTCAAATCTCGCAGCTGTAATGCAAGTACTACTGAAAGTCCGTCATGACTACCTCAATTATGTACTATGAGTCGCTACCCGGATTTGAACCGGGGATGTCACGGCCATGACGTGACGTCCTAACCACTAGACGATAGCGACACAACTATACAGGCGTATTCGGAATTCTTTTCGCATACTTGCGGCCTATATGTCATAATATTTCATACCTCCCCTCCAGTAGCGCTACAAAGTTTGTTACAAGCTGCCTCCTCGCTGCTACAATGAAGTGAGTTCCTCCAAAGAATTTTTATTGCATGAAAATTCTACGTTGAACTCGGAAGCTTTTCCCAGAGGCATGTCTCTTCTTCAAGGCGAGAGGGGCAGGCAGAACGTCCCCTGAAGAACGGTGTCATTCATGTGGAAGACGGACAAGACAGATGGATTGCAGGGCGTTCCTGTTTCTTCAGCGAACACTCGAAACGTACTTGAGCCGCAGAAACCCTGGGTTCACCTGTTTTTCACAACTCCGGCTTAGACGAACCGCCTCAGTTGACTTCGAGCCTGCGAGGAAAGGGAATCGCCTCTCGTAAGGGGCAAGCCCCGAGCTTTTCTCGCTATGTTCAGCGACAAGCCTACTTTCAAGCCCAACCGTATCATCGACAGTTTGGCCGAGTGGTCAAAGGCGTTAGCCTAAGGCGCCAGTCCGCAAGGGCGCGAGTTCGAATCTCGCAGCTGTTATGCAAGTACTACTGAAAGTCTGTCATGACTACCTCAGCTATGTACTATGAGTCGCTACCCGGATTTGAACCGGGGTTGTCACGGCCACAACGTGACGTCCTAACCACTAGACGATAGCGACGCAACTATACAGGCGTATTCGGAATTCTTTCCGCATACTTGCGGCCTATATGTCATAATATTTTATACCTTCCCACCAGTAGCGCTACAAAGTTTGTTACAAGCTGCCTCCTCGCTGCTACAATGAAGTGAGTTCCTCCAAAGAATTTTTATTGCATGAAAATTCTACGTTGAACTCAGAAGCTTTTCCCAGAGGCATGTCTCTTCTTCAAGGCGAGAGGGGCAGGCAGAACGTCCCCTGAAGAACGGTGTCATTCATGTGGAAGACGGACAAGACAGATGGATTGCAGGGCGTTCCTGTTTCTTCAGCTAACACTCGAAACGTACTTGAGCCGCAGAAACCCTGGGTTCACCTGTTTTTCACAACTCCGGCTTAGACGAACCGCCTCAGTTGACTTCGAGCCTGCGAGGAAAGGGAATCGCCTCTCGTAAGGGGAAAGCCCCGAGCTTTTCTCGCTATGTTCAGCGACAAGCCTACTTTCAAGCCCTACTGTATCATCGACAGTTTGGCCGAGTGGTCTAAGACGCTAGCTTCAGGCGCTAGTGGCTCCGAAAGGGCGCGAGTTCAAATCTCGCAGCTGTAATGCAAGTACTACTGAAAGTCCGTCATGACTACCTCAATTATGTACTATGAGTCGCTACCCGGATTTGAACCGGGGATGTCACGGCCATGACGTGACGTCCTAACCACTAGACGATAGCAACGCAACTATACAAGCGTATTCGGAATTCCTTCCGCATACTTGCGGCCTATATGTCATAATATTTCATACCTCCCCTCCAGTAGCGCTACAAAGTTTGTTACAAGCTGCCTCCTCGCTGCTACAATGAAGTGAGTTCCTCCAAAGAATTTTTATTGCATGAAAATTCTACGTTGAACTCAGAAGCTTTTCCCAGAGGCATGTCTCTTCTTCAAGGCGAGAGGGGCAGGCAGAACGTCCCCTGAAGAACGGTGTCATTCATGTGGAAGACGGACAAGACAGATGGATTGCAGGGCGTTCCTGTTTCTTCAGCGAACACTCGAAACGTACTTGAGCCGCAGAAACCCTGGGTTCACCTGTTTTTCACAACTCCGGCTTAGACGAACCGCCTCAGTTGACTTCGAGCCTGCGAGGAAAGGGAATCGCCTCTCGTAAGGGGCAAGCCCCGAGCTTTTCTCGCTATGTTCAGCGACAAGCCTACTTTCAAGCCCTACTGTATCATCGACAGTTTGGCCGAGTGGTCTAAGGCGCTAGCTTCAGGCGCTAGTCCGCAAGGGCGCGAGTTCGAATCTCGCAGCTGTTATGCAAGTACTACTGAAAGTCTGTCATGACTACCTCAACTATGTACTATGAGTCGCTACACGGATTTGAACCGGGATTTTCACGGCCACTACGTGACGTCCTAACCACTAGACGATAGCGACACAACTATACAGGCGTATTCGGAATTCTTTCCGCATACTTGCGGCCTATATGTCATAATATTTCATACCTCCCCTCCAGTAGCGCTACAAAGTTTGTTACAAGCTGCCTCCTCGCTGCTACAATGAAGTGAGTTCCTCCGAAGAATTTTTATTGCATGAAAATTCTGCGTTGAACTCGGAAGCTTTTCCCAGAGGCATGTCTCTTCTCCAAGGCGAGAGGGGCAGGCCGAACGTCCCCTGAAGAACGGTGTCATTCATGTGGAAGACGGACAAGACAGGTGGATTGCAGGGCGTTCCTGTTTCTTCAGCTAACACTCGAAACGTACTTGAGCCGCAGAAACCCTGGATTCACCTGTTTTGCACAACTCCGGCTTAGACGAAGCGCCTCAGTTGACTTCGAGCTTGCGAGGAAAGGGAATCGCCTCTCGTAAGGGGCAAGCCCCGAGCTTTTCTCGTTATGTTCAACGACAAGCCTACTTTCAAACCTTAGACCGTAGTATCGACAGTTTGGCCGAGTGGTCTAAGGCGCTAGCTTCAGGCGCTAGTCCGGAAGGGCGCGAGTTCGAATCTCGCAGCTGTTATGCAAGTACTACTGGAAGTCTGTCATGACTACCTCAACTATGTACTATGAGTCGCTACCCGGATTTGAACCGGGGTTGTCACGGCCACAACGTGACGTCCTAACCACTAGACGATAGCGACACAATTTTACAGGCGTATTCGGAAGTCTTTCCGCATACTTGCGGCCTACATGTCATAATATTTCATACCTCCCCTCCAGTAGCGCTACAAAGTTTGTTGCAAGCTGCCTCCTCGCTGCTACAACGAAGTGAGTTCCTCCAAAGAATTTTTATTGCATGAAAATTCTACGTTGAACTCAGAAGCTTTTCCCAGAGGCATGTCTCTTCTTCAAGGCGAGAGGGGCAGGCAGAACGTCCCCTGAAGAACGGTATCATTCATGTGGAAGACGGACAAGACAGATGGATTGCAGGGCGTTCCTGTTTCTTCAGCTAACACTCGAAACGTACTTGAGCCGCAGAAACCCTGGGTTCACCTGTTTTTCACAACTCCGGCTTAGACGAACCGCCTCAGTTGACTTCGAGCCTGCGAGGAAAGGGAATCGCCTCTCGTAAGGGGCAAGCCCCGAGCTTTTCTCGCTATGTTCAGCGACAAGCCTACTTTCAAGCCCTACTGTATCATCGACAGTTTGGCCGAGTGGTCTAAGGCGCTAGCTTCAGGCGCTAGTCCGCAAGGGCGCGAGTTCGAATCTCGCAGCTGTTATGCAAGTACTACTGAAAGTCTGTCATGACTACCTCAACTATGTACTATGAGTCGCTACACGGATTTGAACCGGGATTGTCACGGCCACTACGTGACGTCCTAACCACTAGACGATAGCGACACAACTATACAGGCGTATTCGGAATTCTTTCCGCATACTTGCGGCCTATATGTCATAATATTTCATATCTCCCCTCCAGTAGCGCTACAAGGTTTGTTACAAGCTGCCTCCTCGCTGCTACAATGAAGTGAGTTCCTCCAAAGAATTTTTATTGCATGAAAATTCTGCGTTGAACTCGGAAGCTTTTCCCAGAGGCATGTCTCTTCTCCAAGGCGAGAGGGGCAGGCCGAACGTCCCCTGAAGAACGGTGTCATTCATGTGGAAGACGGACAAGACAGGTGGATTGCAGGGCGTTCCTGTTTCTTCAGCTAACACTCGAAACGTACTTGAGCCGCAGAAACCCTGGGTTCACCTGTTTTTCACAACTCCGGCTTAGACGAACCGCCTCAGTTGACTTCGAGCCTGCGAGGAAAGGGAATCGCCTCTCGTAAGGGGCAAGCCCCGAGCTTTTCTCGCTATGTTCAGCGACAAGCCTACTTTCAAGCCCTACTGTATTATCGACAGTTTGGCCGAGTGGTCTAAGGCGCTAGCTTCAGGCGCTAGTCCGAAAGGGCGCGAGTTCGAATCTCGCAGCTGTTATGCAAGTACTACTGAAAGTCTGTCATGACTACCTCAACTATGTACTATGAGTCGCTACCCGGATTTGAACCGGGGTTGTCACGGCCACAACGTGACGTCCTAACCACTAGACGATAGCGACACAACTATACAGGCGTATTCGGAATTCTTTCCGCATACTTGCGGCCTATATGTCATAATATTTCATACCTCCCCTCCAGTAGCGCTACAAAGTTTGTTACAAGCTGCCTCCTCGCTGCTACAATGAAGTGAGTTCCTCCAAAGAATTTTTATTGCATGAAAATTCTGCGTTGAACTCGGAAGCTTTTCCCAGAGGCATGTCTCTTCTTCAAGGCGAGAGGGGCAGGCAGAACGTCCCCTGGAGAACGGTGTCATTCATGTGGAAGACGGATAAGACAGATGGATTGCAGGGCGTTCCTGTTTCTTCAGCTAACACTCGAAACGTACTTGAGCCGCAGAAACCCTGGGTTCACCTGTTTTTCACAACTCCGGCTTAGACGAACCGCCTCAGTTGACTTCGAGCCTGCGAGGAAAGGGAATCGCCTCTCGTAAGGGGCAAGCCCCGAGCTTTTCTCGCTATGTTCAGCGACAAGCCTACTTTCAAGCCCTACTGTATCATCGACAGTTTGGCCGAGTGGTCTAAGGCGCTAGCTTCAGGCGCTAGTCCGAAAGGGCGCGAGTTCGAATCTCGCAGCTGTTATGCAAGTGCTACTGAAAGTCTGTCATGACTACCTCAACTATGTACTATGAGTCGCTACCCGGATTTGAACCGGGGTTGTCACGGCCACAACGTGACGTCCTAACCACTAGACGATAGCGACACAACTATACAGGCGTATTCGGAATTCTTTCCGCATACTTGCGGCCTATATGTCATAATATTTCATATCTCCCCTCCAGTAGCGCTACAAGGTTTGTTACAAGCTGCCTCCTCGCTGCTACAATGAAGTGAGTTCCTCCAAAGAATTTTTATTGCATGAAAATTCTGCGTTGAACTCGGAAGCTTTTCCCAGAGGCATGTCTCTTCTTCAAGGCGAGAGGGGCAGGCAGAACGTCCCCTGGAGAACGGTGTCATTCATGTGGAAGACGGACAAGACAGATGGATTGCAGGGCGTTCCTGTTTCTTCAGCTAACACTCGAAACGTACTTGAGCCGCAGAAACCCTGGGTTCACCTGTTTTTCACAACTCCGGCTAAGGCGAACCGCCTCAGTTGACTTCGAGCTTGCGGAGGAAAGGGAATCGCCTCTCGTAAGGTGCAAGCCCCGAGCTTTTCTCGTAATGTTCAGCGACAAGCCTACTTTCAAGCCCTACTGTATCATCGACAGTTTGGCCGAGTGGTC